CCATTTTTCGCATCATCATCATAAGGTATTAGTGCAATATTCTATTTTTCTATTTTTTAAGACACAAATAAGTAATAATTAGTAATGTACTAAGATTTGATAAAGAAATCAACGATTTGACACCTAACAATGTTACTCAAGAGAAAGTCAGTAAAATATTGGTCAATATTAGCTACATAATATTATAGCAGATGAGGCCTAGTGTTTACTATTTAGTAAAAATGACCAAAATGATTTTCTTAACAAGTTCTACATGCAAACAAATTAGTTTATGAACATTGATTGTTACACGGTAAACCTGACTAAGACTCCAATTTGTACAAACTATATCTTAAGACCATAATAAATTGAAGACATTTTGTATCCCAAGGAATCGTTTTCACAACGTCCACGACTCTTTAAAAAAACAGTGAATTTTACAAACTACAAAAAAATTGAGCATTGTAAAAAATATAAAACATCTTAACGATGACTTTTAAAATAATGCGATTGAAACATTCACGTTGTACCTTAAATTAAATCTACTCACCTTTAAATTTATTACCACACATTATAATAACATATATATAGACTTAAGGGAGGGCCGTTACACTTTAAACCGTATCAAATAATGTTTTGAGAAATTTGCAGATGAACATTTTTTTTTTTATGTTAAGGAAATTGTAATTTTTTTTAAACAGATTTTTGTGTTATTAATGAGTTATTTGGAGTTTAATATTTTTGTTTTGATTTTTTTTTTACACGGAAATTAAATTAAAACTACTAAAATAATTACATAATTTCATTAAAACGGTGACTTATTGGATTTCACTTGTAAGCCAACTAAATTGTACACCATTTAATTAGGATTTAATAATTATCGACGAGTAATAATTATAAATTGTAATCTATACATTTAATTTAATTAATAGAGTAAATAATTGATATATCATATTATGTTGTTATTGTAATTGTTAAGTAGTTATCAAGATGTATAAACGTTTTGAAAAGAGGTAGGTAGAGTTTTAATTACATTTTTCTTACCTTAAATCAATGTTTCTAGTTTTTTGTTACATATTTATTACATGTGTTACGAATTATGTTGAAAAAATATAATAGCATTCCAGTGTTATTACTTCTTACCGATTTGATTTATTAGCAGAATAACACGGTACCGATAATATATAATAATATTATAGAAATAGTTTTAAATAAAATATTATTTTTCTTTATCGCCCGCTAAAGACGCTACTTAATTATAACATTAATATTGTATTAATACTAGAACTGTAATATTATCATGTTTATCAGCATTGGATATCGAAAAAAAGAAAATATTAGGTATTATACAATATAATAATATTTCTGTCTAAGAAAATAATGACGATCAGGTATATCGTTTCTTTTTGAAATTGTTTTATCTGATTTATTTTAATGTATAACACTTTTTTATTGTATTTTTCAACGATAAAGAAATGGAATGTTTATTATATCATGAAAAATGATTTTTTTATTTACACACAACAACATAACATGGTAACGATTTGAAAACAATATAAACAAAATATAGGAAACACAATAATTTTACAAAACAATTATTAAAAAAAGAAATTATTACAATAACTTTAACGATCAAAAATATTTACAGTAAATTAAACAGATAGGCTGAAAATGCAAGAAAATGCAACAACATTAAGTAGAATCAAATAAATATTTACAGTAAAAATAACAGATATGGTGGGGGGGGGGGGTAGGTAGAAGGTGCAAGCCACAAGGGTACGTTAGAAACCGGAATAATAAAATCCTCTGTCGACGGGCATGTCCGGGTACGGTTGCTTGCTTCTTAGGCTCTTGGTCATGGCCTTTACCCTCGCGATCCTGGCTCTGTATTCGGCGTTCCCCGTGGCGGTGCTTTGGTCGAAGCGGACCGCCACGATCGGTGTCCTACGTACGGGTTCTTGGGCCGGTCGCGTTTCGGCGGGTTCCTGGGCCGGGCCGCTGGCAACGTCGTCGCCGCCGCTTTGGGCTTCGATGGTCGGTGGTTTGACCTAGGTGGCTTCGTACAGAAGTGCGTCAATAATGGCTTTGTACGCACCGGCAACAGTTGACCGTGCCCAGCGGTTCAGACTGGTGGCCAGACAGCCTGACTTCTGGCGGCCGACGTCGTTGGCGTTTACGGGAAACAATTTTTTACAATGTGAGAACAGCTTGTAACAATGATAACAGACCAATGCGGTGGAAAAAATAACGTAACTAATAAGAGCAATTAAACATATGAGAATATAAAAATACATTACATAAAAGAAAAACATTAAAAAACATATAGTATAAAAAATTATTGGCTTTGGAATAAATTTACAAGAAAGACATAGGATTATTAGGAAATATAAAAAAGTTACCAAAATGGAGGAATATAAAAAATAACGGACACAGTCAACGTGGGCGGAATACCAAGAAAAAATAAAAAATAATAAATTGCGAAGTGCACTAATACTAGAAATCAAACGATATAAATGAACAAAGACCATAATTAATTGGCATGCAAAATTTAACCCATCCAGAGCCTGTCGCACGTCCGCGGCATCTTCGCCGGCTTGGTCGGCTTTGGACTTGGTGGGTGCCATACGATCTAACACTTTCATAATGCCAATTGACAGCCCGTTCTTCAAGATATTGTACAAAAAAGACATTGCTTTAGGAGAAAAGGTTATTTTTGATAAAGAGAACAAGAGAAATATAAAACATGAAAACGATACACAGTACAATTTTAGACAAGTCAATAGTTACAAAAAAACAACGGCCGTCGTGACGACCGTTGGTTCATTTGCAACATTTGATTGTATAATATAGTAGCCAGACATATTATTATTATATTTGTTTGTTTATCTAAAGTCTTAACACCCCAAATGGGTAACGGTTACTTATTTTGATTTGTAATGAGCGTTTTTAACATGTTTCTTAACACATAGTCACTTTTGCCACGAGCAACACTATATAATATTCTACACCTTCATATTAACAAAGAATGTAGCAGGATTCCTGCTATAAGAATACAAAAATATATGTATTTGAGCCGTTCGCAATTTTAAATTCTTATTTGGTGCATGCATTTACACTTGTAAAGTAATTGTTAAATGTATATGGTCAACAATTAAGTATCTTAGAAATGGACAATGTCTGTGTGTAAAATAGGGTTGATGGTTGTTGTATTAGGGTTGCCTGTTTAAAATTTAATTTATCTAGAAAAAAATGGAGGAATTTGTATTGTTGAAAAACGAATTTACTTATTAATAAGCATTTGTTTTAACTCATTTGTATAATTATACGAGGATATTACATAACTAACTACTCATTTAGACTTTTTATTTGTTTATTGCCATAAAATAAAGGAATACAGATAATAAGGTTTTCAAAAAAATACATTTCTACATTCCTGTCTTTGCTGACATTTTTTCAGTTGCTTTTTAAAACTAAAATAACAAATGATTTTCATTTTTTACAATTTTTAATTGTTACAGCTTATAATTACTTTAGAAAAGCTTGTTGTTTTACTTAATATTGAATATTGATTAATGAATTATACCTAACACGGCAAGCAAACATTTATAAGAGCTACCGCTATGGTGTTATGTCATTACTCATTACTCATTTATGAAAAAAAAATTTATGACATTTTTATCAATGTACTAAATTAATTACTAATTTTACAAGAATTACGTTTTCAAAGTGTGGCAACACTGTTAGTTAAATGCCCTGCAACGCTACATTCGTTATTTAATATTTTATGTAATTCCATATTCGTATTTCGATTCTTTGTGAATTCGTTTTGTCACCGCTAAGTTTCTTTTTGGATAATTGCGCGGTAAGGTTTTTTTTTTTTTGGAAAAAGTATAATCGTCAGCCGTTAAGAGGACGCTACCCAGGCCATTTCTAAGGAGTAAAGTATAGGCAATTTTCGAAAAATCTTAAATTAGAGTTTAAACTATATTATATACTTATTAATACAGTAATGAGGATACTTTATTGATTGCCATTTTTTTCGTCAGACTATCACAGTCACTTCTATAGGATAAATTACAATTTTTTCCCCATCAAAACTGCTTTGCGCGGGACAAGAATGTGAGGGCAGTATTAACAATAGATTTACCAAATTTTCACAATGTATAGAGAAGAACTTTATCTACGGAGTAGCGATTTTATTTGTTTGATATCTATACTTAATATTTTTTTATAAGCAAATGAAAATTGAAAAAAAAATAGAATCTTCACGAAGAAATAAATTTAATTGTGATTAAGTTATCAAAAAACTAAAATCGCTACCCCGTAAATACAGTTCTTCTCTATCCATTGTAAAAATTGTATACGGCTACTGTAAATACCGCCTTCACATTCTTGTCCCCCACAAAGCCATTTTTTGCGGATAAATTACGGGTGGGTAGCGTCCTCTTAATCGTTATAATAGTATATTATAGCAAATTATGTTCATATCATAAATAGTTTTATACGTTTTATATAATTAATATTTAAAGTAATAAATCTATTACAACTAGCTGCCTAACACCGCTTTAAAAATTAAATTTTTATGCTTGTTTCAGTTTTCTTTAAAAGAGAACAAAACTGGAAGTCGTAAGTGCCAGAAGACCTTTAGGCACAAAAGAACCGCAATCGTGTAGACCGCCCAGGGGTATATGTATAATCTAAAATGTATATTTGTCTGTACAATTTTCTTTTAATAAATAATAATTATATTGTGTTCTATATCTTATTTTTTAAATTTATTATTAATTATGAGTAACTATTTTGTTTGTATATTTTCTATAAATTATAGTGCGTTGTTATTTTTTCCCTTCCTCAATAACAGGGCAAAATAATAATATTTTTGATTTCGTGTAATAATAATATTATAGTCGGTGTATGTACTGCCCCTTAGAATAATAGAGTGTAGGCAGCGCAACATACACCAACGCCATGACACTTTCTGTTATCAAATATTGCTGGCTCGTTAATGAGATAATGATAACATGTGACTTCACAGTTCACTTCACACTTGTAATAAGTTGTAATAATTTTACAAATTATATTACAATAGGTAATTATATTAATATTTGTATTTACTTCCACGAGAACATTGCTTATACTTTTGATTCAAAGGTAAGTTATTTTTCTTGTTGTAATAACGCTAGTGTTGAATGTTTACTTGCTTCTTATCACAAATAAGTAAGTAACATGCTTCAAACTGAAACGAGACATCATTTTTTCTTGTTTTGCCGAAAACGTCAATGTTGTAGAATAAATTTAATCTTTTTGTTCATCGATTTGGATTATACAATACCCAGAATAAGTTTCGTTAATCAACAACCTGGAACGAATCCTTTTGTTTAACTTCATAGGTACTAAAAAGTGTCACTATTATAAAATTTGTCTTTTTAGTATGGTTATGGAGACACCTTTACTTTGAAGGAGGCAGTGATGGCCCTTAGTAGGCCATTTTAACGGGAAATATAAGGTTTTTTGTTTAGTAGGTTAGGATATATAAATATGAGTCAACCATGTATTAATTCCTAATAATACATAAGTATACCCAAAACTAAAAATAATAAGATTTTGCACAAATTAATTTGTCAAGCTAAATATGGTGAATTGTTTAATGTACCCTAATAATAAAAACTTTAGTACTATCTTATAATCGGTTATGATTAGACTGTATTTAGTTTTACGTTATGCCAAAACTTCTTATAATATTTATGGTAAATTTTTATTTTTTTTACAGTTGTAAACTATGAGTATCTCATATCCAGGGGCACACACGTGTGTTACGTGTCAGATTGTCTTTGAAACAGGCGATACTCATCGAGTGCATTACAAAACAGACTGGCATCGTTACAACTTGAAAAGAAAAATTATTAACCTGCTTCCCGTTGATCTACCGACGTTTAACTCGCGCATTCTTAGTCAACAGATCAAAGAGGAACAAGATAATTCAAAGAGTTCTATTTACTGTACAATATGTAGAAAATCGTATACTTCACAAAAGTCGTTTGACAATCACTTATCGTCCAAACAACACAAAAGCTTGGCTGCTGTGTCCGATAACGATAACAAAGACATTGGTGTACCAGCCGAGAAAAAAATCAATAAGCCAGTTGAAGTTATTAATAATACTGAGGAGAGTGACGATGAGTATGAGGACGTGGACGAAGACGATGAAGCGTGGGATGGTGTAGTCAGTGACAACAACCCAATTATTAACAATATCTGTTTGTTTTGTCCGCATAGCAGTGAAAATATGTTTGAAAACCTTAAGCACATGTCTGATGAACATTCATTTTTCGTACCAGATATTGAATATTTGGTAGACATGAAAGGATTGTTAGTGTATTTAGGAGAAAAAATATGTCAAGGTTTCATGTGTTTATGGTGTAACGATGCTGGTAAAAATTTCCGAACAATGGAGTCTGCACAAGCTCATATGGTGGATAAAGGTGTGTTGTGTTTCCAAATGTTTAGATTTTATTTTATATTAACATTGTGTTTATGGTGTTCCCTTTTTGATTTCAGGTCATACAAAAATGGCTCACGAAGGCGAAGCTCTGTTAGAGTATTCAGATTTTTACGACTATTCTTCTAGTTATCCAGAAAATGATACCGAAGACAATTATCGAATTGTTGAAGATGTCAACTCTCAGTTGATATTACCTTCTGGGGCTAGAATAGGAAAGCGATCGCTTATGAGATATTATAGGTAAGACTCGTTCACAGATTATTAGTACTAGTGTTATAGAAATGTGCTAACGTTATTAAGCGGGTACCGTGTGATGTGTGTTTTAATAGAAATTAATTTGTTTACAGGCAAAATTTAAATCCGAATAGCAATGTTGTAGCATTGAAAGGGAAAAAGTTCGACAAAATCATCAACCACTACAGACATATTGGGTGGACAGGAACGTTCCCCGCTGCTGCTGCTAGGTACTTATTTATAAATTTTCATTTATTTTTATAAAACATACCTATTGTACTTATATAATAACACTCGTATAGTTAATTAAGCCCTTATGGAAGTCATAAAAATTGTTGTTTATACTAGAAATGCAATTATATATATATATAATAATACAAAATTGGTCCTGATATTCAGTCTTTTTTGACCAAATAAGGGTTAATGTCAATCATATCACAATTTTGTTAAAATCGCATCTTTTTGACAATGTGTGTATGTAACTATTTTATTGTGGTATGTTGTTATTCCAGTTTGTGCTTACACAATACAAATACACACAGTGTCACATCATGTGTTTTAAATGCCAATAGTTATAATTGTTAATGATTTATTATTCCGCTAATATACTATTAATATATGTTCATAGGAAAGCCAGAGATTTGAAAATCATGAGACAAGTTCAATCAAAAATTTACATGCAGTTGGGTGTGAAAGCAAACAAATTCCAAAAGCATTATCGTCCACAAGTGAACTTTTAGATTTTATATTAAATATGCTGAAATTCTTATTGTATTTTTATAGCTGTTTTTCCTTGTAAAACATTATAATGACAATTAGAGTAACTGCATTTTAAAATAAATTACCTTGTTTAATTTGTCTAAATTATTGTTCTTGCCATTTTATTTAAAATTTTAAGCTAGATTCACCATACTCATTGTTTTAATTTGCCTATATCTCTTGACCAATTTTTGGCTAAGTTAACTCGTAAATTTATTTTTTTGTAATTTGTCCACACAATTGGACCGCCTTACCCATACTTTGTTTTAATAAGAATGAAAAATAAAAAATAATAATGTTATTAATAATTATAATAATAAATATATAAACAATTAAAGTAATGACTACTATAATCACGAGAAACACGAATGTGAGGCGATTGGGAGAGCTTAGCGCTTATCAGCAGCACTCCCGATAACCGATTTTAATGAAACAAAATTAATATTTCTTTAAAGAAATGTGAGGAATAACTTGTTTGTTGTATATTTTCTGTAATGAAACTGCTTTTGAATAAAACATAATTGTATATTAAATTTCATTAAAAACTGTCAATAATCTAAGACTTTGTACGGGCTTAGGTAAAAATAAATTTCATGTTCGGATTTCTTACTTTAAATGTATATAAAAACCACTCTAATTCTTGGTGAGGTCTTAGTGTATACAGAAATAGGGTATTGCATATGGACTAAAATGTATTGTCATTGTAGCTTTAAACACACTTGAAGGGCTGTGATAAAAGTGTATCTATTAAGGCGCATTGTATAGACAATTGTTCAGTAAAACTTGACATTAAGCTAAAATTTGTAAACTTTTAATTAACACATGAGTCAAGAGAAGAGGGATCTATTAACATAGTAATAATCTAATTAACAAATTATTATATTTTTATTTCCAACAATCCAAATATTTTGTGTTAAACACAGTTACTTGTTAAGTCTGTATCTTATAAAAAAAAAAAGTTACAATTTAGTCTCTAACCTCTCTGGAAATAATATATTTTCCCCCTATTTTTTGATATACATATCACAGAATAACTATAGACTACATAGTAAATAAATATTATGAAATACGTAATAACTATCTCATGATTATTTTGATTTCTGTTTACACATCACAAAATGGTTTTTTTTTGCTTACATACGAGGTATTCCGTATTAGTCGCCCATCATAATGGATACCCATTGTATATTTTGTTATTAAAATAATAGTAAATACTATTGTATTTCTATGGACGATATATGTTCAAGTATAACCTCTGTGACTGTAATTAATATATTTAACTGTTTAATACACAACATAGTGCAGTCGGAGAGACAACACGACGTACATTTTTAAAGGCTATTTTTTTTAAAATTTGAGTTATTTTTTAATTTTATATTGAATTAATTGCACCATGAATTACAATAAACCAGAACCGTTGTCGTTGACGGGCAACTTGGTAGAAAACTTGCGTGTTTTTCGGGAATCGTATGATATCTACATGGAAGAAACTGGACTGGCGACAACAAATAATGAAACAAAAGTCAGTATTTTACTTCATTTCGTTGGTAAAGAAGGCCTTGGTCTTTATAATACATTTGTGTTTGAAACCCCAGAAGACTCTAAGAAAATTGATAGTGTAATAGAAGCATTTGAAGATTATTGCAAACCGATAAAAAATATTTTGCATGCCAGAAATGTTTTTTACAAGAGATATCAAAAAGAAAATGAATCTATCGAAGAATTTTTTTCTGCGGGTAAAACCTTATTTGAAGATAGTGAGTTTGGGTCAGAAGATGAAACGGTCTTACGAGACAAAATAGTAATGGACACTACTGATGCTAATACTCGTAACCGTCTAATTGAAAAAGGTGATGTCACTTTGAATGAAGCTGTAGAAGCGCTGCGTATTGCTGAGGTACAATGTAGGGAGCTCGAGCAAATGCAGCTGGATGAAGAAGCAGGAAATGTAGTGGGTGTCGTTCAGTTAAAGAAGGAAGTTGGCAATGTTATTGAAAAAACTACCAAAATTGATGGATCTAAGTATAAAATTGATGACGATAATTTAAAAACCGAGGTGAAATTATATATTTTTTTTCTTTTTTAATAACATTAAATTTTGTTTAATTGGATCAAATGTTTTTTTTTTGCAGTATGTTATCAAAAACGTAATATCAATTTTAAACAAAATTACTCCGGAAAATAAGGAATCATTGACTGAAGATTTTAATGCATTGCTTATCGATTCACACGAACATTTAGAAACAATAATAGATATAGTATTTGAAAAGGTACTTCTGAAATCCAATTATTGTTTTTAATAGTAAATGTATGTATATTATTTATCTAAACAACTATATATAATTACTATATTCAATTACACTAGGCAATTGAAGAATAAAGCTTTGCTCCTCTGTGTGCATCTTTGTGCCATGCTGTACAAGGTATGCAAGTTCAAAAAGGTGGCAAAACCACTTCATTTAAAAGAGGTATCATTAGTAAATGCCAAAGTATTTTCGAATTGGATTCTGCTAAAAAACTTGCAGAAATAAATACTTTTACAGATCCTGTGAGTAGTTGTTGTGCTCTTTGAAATCCAGAATGGTTGTTATTAATATTTTATTTTCATACTAGAAAAAGAAAAAGGAACTTCAAACAGAATTTGAAGAAAATGTGAGAAGGCTGAGTAATGAAGGAAATTGTAGGAAATTGCTGGTATAATTTTTAATTAATATAGAAACATGGTTTACCACAGATTTTAGTTTATAAGGAATTTCTTAAACTTATTCTTGATTAATATTAGTTTTCTGTTAAATCATAATATATGACGTGTAATGATAATTTTTTTTATATATTATAATAATTTTCAGCATACATTTACTAATAAATTTAGAGATCTGTTACACCCTGAATCCCACTACTGAATTAACATACTAAATGTTTTCAATCAGATAAAAAATAATACGTTTAAGAATAACTAAAATAGTTTTATAGAAACTTGAACGGTTATCTATTTGTTTTTAAGATTTATTGGCGAGTTATTCAAACAAAAAATTCTTTCACCAAATATTATGTTATATTGCATAAAGAATTTAGTAGGTAAACATGATGAAGATTCATTAAAATGTTTATTCACTTTGTTAAAGGCTGTTGGAAAAGAGTTAGAACGAGTAAGTTAATTTTTTTGTAATATATTAAAAAACTGTTATAAATTAAAGCGCAATATTTGTAATTTACGTGTGGCAGTGTAACACATTTTGAAATTAAAATTTACATTATTCACTGAATGCTTATAATTTTGTATAAATGTATTGTTTTTTAGAATTACAATTTAAATGAAATTTTTGATAAATTAAAACAATTATCTTTTGAAAAAAAGAAAGCAAAAATTCCCGCGAGGATACGATTTATGATCCAAGATGTTTTACGTTTAAGAAAGGATAGATGGATACCTAGAAAATCGCAACAAGATAATCATCCTAGTGCTGATCGGTTGGGTAATTTAGCTCTTTATTATAGAGCAGATGTAAATAAATTATATTTTTACTTTATTTAATATGTTATTTCAAATAATCACCAACCAGGTCTACCTAACCAGGTAGGTTGAAGAGTATAAGTGTTGAACTCATTCTTCCTTTTACTTTCAAATTTATAAAAATAAGATTTAAAATACAAATTTTAATTGTTAATCAATTTTTTATTTATGACCTTTCGAATTCAGTTATTTTAAATCTGAAAATATGTGTATACAGTGTTTTTGTTGATTTGTAGAGTTTATTTTGTATTTTATTTTTTGTTTATTTTTTATACTTTATTCTGATTTTACTTTTTAGTTTTGACAATAGGGAAATTACAATATTATTTTGTTAATTAAAAGCAAATGACATTGTGTCGTATATTTATGGTAGTGACATTTTATTTAATTGTTAAAAATTACGATAAAGAAATTGTAATTTTTTTTAATATTAAAAAATAATAAATACAAGTTGAAAAAAAAAAAAATACATCTTAAGTACTTTTTTACACTGTGCGTTACTACTATTATTTCTTATAAAGTTGTTTTATCTTGTGACCTTTATACACAAAAAAAAAATCTAATGAAGTCGCAATTAGAGAGAGTAGGTACAAGTTCAATTATCATCGAAAGTAGTCATTAAATTCTGTATTGTGTTTTATATACTTGAAGTTGCTGTAGTCAATTGATACATTTTTGTGACATACTGATGGCCTTAACTAAATGTACATGAAATTTGCGGTAAAAATATCTTGCTTAATAAAATTATGACATTATGCTAAGTCTGAATTTTATATTAAGAACAAAAGGTAGTGGAGATTTTGTTTGCCAATCAAGAAAAAAACTATTTATTATAGTGTACATTTTAAATATTATTACATTTGTATGATAAGCATTGTGTTATGGTTATTTGATTAATGTAAATAAAACGTAATAATTCATAACTTTCTATTAAACCGCAATTTATATAAACGCACAGAAAATGTAATAATTGTAATAAAATAACTAATTTGTTGCGAAGACTTGTTATAATAATTTACATTGTACAGAGTACAATTACATTGAATTAAAATACATTAGTTATACTTTATAGTTGTAAAGGTTTTAAATTTATTAGCTTGTAATTTCAAAAACAAAAAATCATGGTTATTATTTTCAAACAATGATATTTTTGAAAACTAAATTTGATAAAGTTTTTTAAAAAGTCTAAAATGTATTTATGCAAGTTCTTCGTGTTAAAAAAAAGTTTGGCTAGATGATTGTCGGTACTTAAGTACCAACAAAAAATTGGTGAAGTACCATCCAAGTACCACAATCAAAACTCAAATTTGGATAAAAAAAGAATAAATACAATTTTATCCATATCTAGGTCAACTAACATGGTAAAGCAAAAAAATGTTGATTAAAAATTATTTTCTTAGATTTTATACAAGATACATAATACATATTTTTTTAAATATAATATTTACATTTATGTTCAAGTTTTGAGGCCACCAGGGCCTATTGAACTTCAAAAAAAAGTTTTCAGAATCATTTTTATCGGTAGGTAAGTTTTAATCCCATCTAGTAAAGTGTAGTTTCATCGAAATTTAGGAGTTGATATTTTACATAAATATATAATACATGTTTAAGTATTAATAAATGCTTAGTACCTACTCTGGTAGGGTACAAGGTATAAAACAAAAGCTAATAGAGATTAATACTTTCGATGTACCATAGATCATTGCAATTTGGAAAAAACGATTTTTTAAACTTATCCAAAGATCGTGCGTATATGTATAAGAATGTTGCTGATGTTAAGGAATAACAATTATACACTATATGATATACACTTAATGAATAATACTATCAGGACAAAGCATAGTTGAATACCTGTGAAACTAGACCCAGCTAAAATGTGTTACCTTAAACTTCATAAAAAAAACGGGTTAACCTCGATTTTTAAAATATACATTTTGCAGTAAACTATCATCAGTAATATAAAATAATATAGCAAAAAGATTTTTAACAGTTATAAAATATATATTGATCACCATTAGTTGAACATAAAAAGGGCAATATAAAAATAGCTTTAAAAAAATAATAGGCTATTTTAAATAATTCTTTTCTTATACTTCCACAATTATTATTTAGCCCATATTTGATATATTTTTCAACTTGACAACAATTAAATAAATTAAATAATTTAATTTTTAAATGGTATATCTCATGAAATTTCAAAATATTAAAAAAAAACCAAAATTTTGTTAGAAGGGTTTATCAGAAATATCATCCATAAGAATGTGTTTATTTTTAGGGGGGTTTAGCGTGGACAATTTTGAGAAATTTATTTCGTTAGACATAAAGAAACTCCGGTTGGGAATTGCCCTTGTAATTAATTATTGAAAATAAAATTATTCAATAAAAAAAAATTATTATTCTTAATGTGTCTGCACGTGACTACTTTACAACAAAAAGGTTTAAGCAAATCTGTTTGTTATGTCGACTTACAAAATACAGTTTTTTTTGTACAGTTTGTAAAGACTTTTTTTAGTAGATATTTATTTGGGGTTTTCACAAAAATGCCAGAAAACCAACACAAAAAATGTATAATATTCCACCTTTGGCATAATAGAGCAGCATATAGAAATCTTATTTTTGAGAACCGGAGAACAAAGCGCCTAATAGGAATCCTATTAGGAATAAAAAAAAACCTATCCATGCCCCATAGCAAAGACAGGGAGAACACAGGTAAGTAGACAGGCAGGTAGGTAGGTATTGAAAAATATGAAAAGTGAAAGTCATAAATTGGTAATAAATTTGTTTGCAATTTTTTTATTTTTCTCCAATAAAAATAATTTGACTAGATTTTTGAAATATTTTTATTTTAAAGGTATACCGTGTTACACATTACATTTTTCATTAGTCCGCTTTATGTAGATCTAAATGCGCATAAAACTATATTGCCGAAAATTGAAATAAATTAACGGTTTTACCCCTCATGGGGGGAGGGGTAAAACTGCCAACCCCAGTGGGGTTTTATGGAAAGAACAATAGTGTTAATATAAAACTTAGTTTGATGATATAACATGTCGCATATATAAAACAATTACCTATTTTAAATGTTGATTACCTAATCTGGGTTTTTTTTTTTTAATGTAGATAGTAAATAATTATTATTGTCTTGAGTCGAATCTCAAAAAGATCTTCGGTCAACATTACTCTATCGGATAATAATTAGAAACAGGACGGTTAATTGATACCTAAATATTTAACTCCGCAAAAAAGATTCAAATAAGAATTCAGGACAAATTCTTCCCAATTAACAACTTGTGAATAATATGGTAGAGAAAGAAGCAATAAAAAATGTATTTATTAACACACCTACAATTTAATGTAATATCGATTATTGTTTAATTGAAATTTGACACTACATAACAACGTCTTTTACAAATAATTATATTATTATATATTTACAAATCGGTTGACAAGACACACTTTGTGTGTGATCCGCAAGAAATATGCTTAAGACGTTTAGTATAATATTTTTATGGAAAAGGTTAAGAAGAAGATGTCTGATGGTGCTCAAGGACGTCTAGTGACTTTTATAGGTGCAACGCTACCGCATGATTGTAACTATAAACCTACAATATTGTATAATTAATTGTAATAATATACATATGTTTTAGTGACCCAACTGTGTCTTTTATTATTACAAGAATACCCTTGGCCGCCGGTTGACCACAAGGCTCGTCCGAATTACTTAATCTCTCTTCTACCTATCTAGGCACATAATGTAAACGTCTACCGGTTTTACTCGATTGGCTGTAAATATAATAATAATATTGTGTCAATGCATATATTAATATAGGTATTATGTATTAACGTGAAGATGTATTTTTGGCCGAAAACATCTAAAAACGGATTACCTCGAACGGCCCTGGTTGGGTTAATATATTGTATATATTTTTTTATAGTTTTTATGGAATTCAATTATTTGCCCTCCACTACTTCTGCTACATCTTAAACGGGTATATATAGGCTTGTGACGACCGGCAAACGCATATTACTTTCTTACCAAGTCTTTGTGCATTCACAACTCGTTTGAAACACTCAGAAAAAAAACTCAACCAAAATCTCCATCATGTCCAAGTTCACGGTAAGCTAATCAAATATTGTTAATTAGTATATATACTTGTTTAAAACCTAGTATTTAACGAAATACATTAAAGTATTACATACTTTAATGTGTTTAGAAATCGTTAGAAAAATGTTTATAAATTTACTATTAAAAAATTATTTTTAGTCAAGGAAAATATATTTACAAGGTTTGAGTTTTTCGTAAGTCGTAACCAGTGAAAAAATATTTAAAAAAACACTTTGCCACAAAAAAACAATACACTATAGCTGCTATATTGTCCGGCAACAACATAGTCTGAGTTATTGTTTTTTATGTGGTTAAGGTTTTTTTCTTTTTATATAATATTTTATTATTTGTTTCTTACCATATTATATAATAAACTCTTTTGCAACAATTGTGTTTGTAAAATATAGTAAGAAAAAAATAATAAAATATGCCTTGATGTCCCCTAACACGATGGATTCAAAGTAAACTAGTCGAAAATCATTTTTTTTTTTATTTTATCGTAGTAGATAATTTTTATTTTTAACGTCGTCTTAAGACGCTATATCATTTATGAATAAAATCCCACAATTACTATACAATATTTTTAATGCTGGGCATAATAGAATAAGGCTTAAGTGTAGTTTTGTTTTGCATTAAAAAAGTTATTAAAAACAATTGTATATTTGTTTTTCAGATGTTTTTGCTGGTAGCCATCGCCTTGGCTTTCATCGGTTCTGCCGCCGCTCAATTTGTCGTCTACCCGACCAACCCCGTGTACTACAACCCTTATGGATACAACTACCCTCTGACCTACAACTACAGACTTGGCGGATACCCTTACCTCTTACGCCGTTAACCATTCACTTCAGCCATAATGTGGTATGTAAATTGATGATGTTTTAGAAGTGTTAAACAATTTTTAATAATCGTTAAACACCTGAGAAATGTTTGTATAAAAAACCATAATTTTAAGAAGACTGTTATTTTTCAGATCTTTACCGCTACACTTCTTTTTCAATATTATTCTATCTATACATCCAATCATCAAAACGTCGAAGCCGCCTGTGAATCGGAAAAAAACAACGTTTTCCCTTTTTGTATAATACATTAAATTATTTTAAATATATTATTTTGTTTATATTTCAGTTAATAAAATTATAACAAAAAAAATCCATCTTTTTTTAAATTCTAAAATGCTTAATTAAATGTCCTAGGTATTGTCTTCCTACACCGACTAATATATATATATATATATATATATATAAATAATATATTAACAGATTAACTGGTTTAAACATCAGTATTAAGTATCATAATTCACATGCTTGTGTAGTAACTAATGAAGAACTTGTAGGAACTGAGTCTCCCGAATCCAACGGCTGTTGCATTCAAATTGAAATCTATAAAATACAAGATACCTATTTATTAAAAAAAAAAACCCTAAAAGTATTATGATAATATGACTTGGTCTCTGACTTGGACATGCTATTGAACCGGTCTGTTAACTTCATTATCTACTCTTTGTTATTTTGACTGCGGTCAATATTGATATAGATGAATATTGAGTTGGAAAATTCAAGTTTTTTTTTACACGTGCAGGGCTATGATAAAGTCAAGGTACTTATATATATTTGTTTTAACCAACTCTTCTTAGCTAACTGAAAACGGTTCCAGTATGTCTCTAGGCTAAAACACTATATTTAATTGTATACAGGTAGAGGTTCATTTTATCGTGAACCACTAAATATCTCATAGGGTTTAATGAGAAATTATAAATTGTTTTTTTGTCATAATGTTTTTATTACAATGTGATCACAATTTTTAACAATTTGTTTTTGTTTTCCCATATTGGTTATTTTTTATAGCAACTTTTTAAACTTAAACGGTAACTACATACATTATATTAACTTTTTAAATTGACAATAATGTACTGTGTAAATGTTGACCGGTCGATAACCGGTTTTGGATTACTATATTTCTGAAGTTATTGAAGTAAGGACGGGAGGGAAGTGCAGGATGGGCAGTGATGAAAATAATACTACACTCCACATTTCCTCCTGCCCTAAACTTAAAACTTCAATAACTTCAAAACGTCGTCATCGTTTCCGCAAATCGTTCACAACAAGAACAGACAAAGGTCTAATAATGATAATAATAATAATAGTTCTAAGAGAAGGTCTAATTATTTGTATTCAAAAAAATAATTTTATTGTTATTGTTTAATATTTAATTTCTATTTTCTAAGATGATTTTCGTTGTTACTTGTTCTTGTTATAAATAATTGCTTACTACGTATGTCGTTTAATACAATAAGTAAGTTTTAATAAATGTTATTATGAATAAAAATATATTGAACACAAATCGGAATCAACAAAAAATATTGTAATTGTACAAACAGTTAATTTATTCAAAATAAAATGCCAAACAATTTTTTTATTCTATTATTTTGTGAAAAAAACTTTATTTTATTTTATAAATCAAATTAGAACCAATCAATAAATGGTTACATTTTATACTTGTAATAACATTGATTGTGATTACACTAAAACTGCATTTTTATTGATAAAAAAAAAATTAAAACTTTAGATTACCGTAAAACATTATTTAGTTAAAACTCAAAATAATAATATTTGTCAAAGTATAAATAATAACAAATTTAAAAGAATCTTGATTCAAACATAGTGTAAAATGTAATTTAAAAATTAAATAAATCCGCGATTTTCAAAAATCAATTAATGGAAAATATGTATATTATATTGCTTGGAACCGTGTTTGAAAGTTACGCTGTAACAACTATTACTTATCAAAGATATTTCGGGAACATTGTTCAAATTTTGTTGGAAAATGTCATTGCAAAAATCTACGACAAAATGGACAAACTTTTGGAAGTCTTTATCGTCGTTGTTGTTCGCTGCTTTTTTCATTCTGATTAATGAACTTGTATGATTCGTGTCCGTTCTTATTTTATGTGCGTTGAGTAGAAAATCTTTTTGGTCCTTGACATCTAACAGCGTGACATTAATTTTGAGACAATGGATCAGATCGAACAAAACCAAACCGGTGGGGTTGCCCATGTGCAAATTAACGATCAACACGTGACTGTACCCTTCTTGAAAACTCTGGATCAAATTATGTTCGTTCACGAAGAAGCAATAGTGTACGGCCGAGTTCGGTATTATTTCGCACAAAACAGACAACAGACTTTGTGTCGATTCGCTAAGGCTTGGTGCCGATACCGAGGTTGTTATTTTCGTAGTAGCGCTCGTTTTAAAGAGATCCGTCAGAGACATGTTTGATTCGTCGGGATCGATTATCATCAGACTGGCGTCGCACTTGGAGTCGTTTCCAATGTTCAACGATTCGTCCAAGTTAATGATACTGTCGTTGGCCTGAAACAAAATAATATATATATATATATATATATATGTACCTATTTAGAAACGGATAATCTTTGCACGGATATTGACCGTCTCACGAGAACTGCCCAAGTACTTAAATAATATCTATATACTAAATGATTTGTACATTACATTATGATATAATACACACCTTGATCGATTTTACAGTGTCTTTCCAGTCGGGGTCGATTTGGACCTGCAGTTTGATCAATTGTGTTTCACAAACCATAACGGCACAATACGGACACTTCGGCGATCTAAAAAATGAAAAATTAATTAGCGCAGTCCTTTGCTTAATTAAATACACAACCAATACGCTTTCATACCTACGTAAACAGAGCAGTATGCACTTTGTATGGAACAAATGGCCGCACGGAGTAGCGTGAACGCTTTCCGGGTATATCCCCGTAAACATTGTGTAGCAAATACCGCAACAAAACATATCGATACTAAAAAAAAAACATTTTAATTATTACCTAATTTTCATTCGTGTGTGTGTAAAAAACAAATCAAGTTTGGTTAGTTTAGGTTACATAACAAAAATACAAGTGTTTTAAGTAAAATCTAAAAAAAATACAGATACAATTTTTTACATTTTTTTTTTTTGTAAATTTTTAATCAAACAAAACTTGGAAATATAATCAAAATGAAAAAATTCAAGTGTGTATAAACACTCAAAGGAGTGCATTACACAAAACCGTTGTTAAAAATACGTTCTTAACCGTATAAAATGTTTTGATAGGCAACGGCCGCACGACGGAACAGAAACGATGAGATTAATGCACAACTAATATGTTAATTTTTTTATATTGTACATCTACTCAATGTTTTCTATTGGCTATATTGTATATAATATGTATTGTCAAGTACAAGTCAAATTATATATATATATTGTAATTCAACAAGGTAGGTAGAACATGAACTACCGACACTTACTTGGATACGGTGACGATTATTGGAGTAGTTAAAATGTATGCACAAATAAAAAGTAACCAGATTGTGAAATATTTTCAAAAATATAAATTGTAATACTCACTATATTTGGAAACCGCACTGGTATTGAAACAATATTATAACGATGCCGGTAGAAAATCGACTGTATTGGCATGACAGTCGTGTAATTCCCAGCAGAATTTTAAAATATAACTATTTAATTACAACGGTCATTAACAACAAATTATTTTCATATAATCTGTGATAATAATAAGTAGATATTGTATCACATTTAGAATATTATTATGACGCTATTGTTGACGTTTAGCAACAAAACCCGGTCAATAATTGGATTATTATATCAATATACTTTTATTAGTTGTATTTTTAAAAATAAACCGCCCCACCGCATTTATAGTCTCTCTCTACGCCTCTTGTATGTAATAGGTATAACAAAAAAAACAACAATCAACTGAAATATCCCATCATTTTTTTCTTGTTAAATCAATTAATTAAGTATACCTACAGTTAATACTAGGTTTATGATTAATCAAAAAATATTTAAAAAATTGTTCGTCGCTTTTTTAACCAGTAAAAGCTGTTTTAATGCCGAAAGTTTGCGTTTTGAGATCCTTCTCACTGGTCTGGATTTTGTACTTAGAGTCTGTTACTTAGAATATAATATAATCTAGACATGTTGTCTGATATACTGTCGTTGGCCGATTTTGTTGGCAGTTCTTGCCCTCCGGAATTTTGTTGTCTTTTAATTGTATAATAGGTGCTTTTACTGTAAAACCAAAATTAAGCGAGTTATTTTCAGTCTGCTTAAACATGTAGAGATGAAAAAACATTTTTAAATCGCTTTCAACAAGGGTGCTGTGATAGTGGGAAAAATAAATCAACTACCAAAATAGAGTCCTATTTATTGAGCTAATAATTATTACTCATCACAGTTTAACCTTCAAATTAAGATTTTGTAAAAATTTGCCCATACTTTACTCCTTAAAAATGGGCGGTGCGACGCCCTCTTAAGGTGATTGCATGCGGTCTGTTTTGAAGGAGTTTTGTATAGGCAATATATATTTAAAAGAAAAAGTGGTTTTTAATCAATTTCGACCGTGTCAATTAATTTACCGTTTAATTTGTTAGGGCTACAAGGTGTTATTTTTAATTTAAATAATTTTTTCTACGAGTAACAGGCGTTTTGATTTATTTCAGACCAAAAAGCTAGACAAAATTTCGAATACCTACTGGGATTTCAATTTCTGTAAAGAGATTCCGAGTTAGGTTAGGTTAAGTTAGGTTGGGTTAGGTAGGTTAGGTTAGGTTAGGTTGGGTTAGGTTGGGTTAGGTTAGGTTAGGTTAGGTTTGTCTACTTTACTATGTTTTGTTGGAAGCCGATTTTCGATTTAAAGTTTCTTTAGTTGATAAAATAAAATTTGCAATTTTACCAATATTAAAACATAAAAACATCAAAAATCCGTTTCCCACATAACCTAGTACATAGTAAACTTGCCAAAGAACTCTTATTATATGTCTTTACACAATTATTGAAATCGGACCGTCTTCATTTGTCCAAATTTTGTATAGCAAATTCGTAACGTCTCTCGCTTTGGTTGTACACATTAACACATACATATTATATACATTATACATATATTATGCGACATTGACAGTAGCTGTAGTAGAAGTGAGTACAAAGGACCGTATACCATATATATCATTATGCGGAAGGGTTGATTCCACGTTGCAATAACCTTTGTGTGCGGGATTCGATTAGAAGCTCATGTGTATATATATATATATATCCTATAAATCATATATATATAAATATATAGAGAAATTGTTCTATATGATGGCGGTTAGAACGCGGAAACGAGTGGTGTTCGACCCATTTCCGACCATACCAATAATATGTAGGGGAAACGGTGTCGACAACCTATTGACACAGTTCACATGCCCAAAATGCGAAAATGCGAAATAATCCGGACCCTATTCACTACACCACCGCTGTCACATTCGCATTCTACATTATATTCTGTATACACATCTATATTGTGTGTGGGATGATGATTCTGTGGGCCCACAAGAGTGTTTCTGTATCTTCTGTGTATTTGTGAGTGATGAACGTGCCCGCCGACCACCGGCAACCCTTTTGTCGTCGTCGCACAAATAAACACATCTCGCTCGAGGCACCTGCGTCTTGTCCTCCTCAGCTGCTGTGAATACAGTTGACCCCTTTTTTTTGGCCTTAAACACATAATATTATATATTTTCGGCGAAAACCGAATCGATTCGAGGTAAACGATCGTTTTGGGGCTATATAAAAATGAAACGTTTTCCAGAATGAATTATCCAAAAAATATGTCCAACAGAAAAACAGTTTCAAAATATTTTAATATTTTAATCGTATATCAAAATTATTAAATTAAATTTTATATTATATTATCGATATTTTATTATTAATATATTATATTGATAAATTGAGCTGTCGCCAACAATTTAAGTAAGACAGAAAATGTCTGTCAGATTAATTGATAAACATGATAACATGTTATGATAACAATGTTTTGATTAAAAATGTGTTTTTTGCTTCTCCTGTAAACCTTTAAAAGCTGAGATACACACTGTTAAACGACGATTTGTATGTGTCCTGAGATAAGTAATTAGTCAAGGTCGATCGGTTAAGTTGAATAATTAAAGGATTAACGATTAACTATGTTTAAAAAAAAACACTATAATACAGGGTGATCTTACAGGGTAGGCTTATAGCTAAAAGAAAGAGATCCTACAGGATGATCAATTTAACGTTTTTTTTTCTTAAAATAATTGCAATTTTCTAGTTTTTCTTATTGAAAACATTTTTTTTATGTTATCAGTAATTGTGCAATGATCGAATATTTACATTTTTTTTTTTTGTATTTTTTAAAGCTCTATTAACTTTTTGTTTTTTTGGCTGGAGACACTATGGTTATTTTATACACTTTTTTTTGACAATATCGAAATTTTTATCTTTTTTAAGATTTTCCAGATCTCCATCGACTTTGTAAAACTTTTACGGTAACGTATATAAGATTTAATTGACTTTTTGAATTAAGTATGACTTGCTAAACATTTTGACTGACCGACCAGCCAGCCGATTTGGATGATAACTTTACTACAGTTATAGTTTAAAAATACCACACTCCGACTTTCCTAAATTTTCAACTTTAACAGCTTTAATAAATTTAGTAATTGTCCAAACCGGTTATATATTATTATACCACCTAACATACTTTATTGGAAAAAAATTAATTTTTAAAAAGTGATGGGTCATTTTTTCAGATCTCAGAAACGCACTTACAAACGTCGTCCGCGTGTGTTAGGTAGAGAAAATTCAGCTACACATTTTATTATTATATTTATTTCTGAGAATTTCAAATATAATGTCCTTATTGGACCGAGGATTTTCGAACAACATATTATATTATATTATTTGAACGAATGAATGAATGAACACGGTTGATGGATGGGTTCGAACGGTTTTGCACACTCATCATATTATTATTATTGTCGAGAAAAACGGTGTGCATTTCGACCTTTATCGGTCTACACACAAGTAATCTTTTATGTTGACCAAGTATCTCAAAAGGGCGAATTCATTTCCAAGGGTTTTCAAAAAAAAAAAAAAAAAATAATAGGAATCCTTTTGTAAATATTTGCCGCTCTTAGCGTCTAATGCGTACCGGTTAGGTGCACTCCTTTACCGAATCCTGTATAGAATAAAATCTAAAATATGCACTCTGTGTGTGTGTGTGTGGTCAATCTTTTTGTGGAATATCACAAAATAACACAATAACAATATACTATTAAATAATTATCATACGTATCATCCACTCAGCCACACAGTTTCCGGATATAAGCTAAAAAAAATTCACTACTTGAAAAAAATAGCTAGTATTTTTTATTTCAAATGTGTTAAACGTGTGTAAACTGCAATTGGCTTTTCAATAATAATGTTTGTTTTGCTTAAGAAGCTTTTAAATGGGTTTAATATTATTGTGCAACCATAGCAAACCATGTCGACAAGACGAATAATTATTGCCGTCCTGAAAATGTTACATTTCAATAGTACTGATGGATTACAGATCTCCTTACACTGTAAGACTTTGGTTAGGTTAGGTTAGGTACAGCGTGGAGACATTAAAATCATTACTTTTCGGTAGATATCATCTAAACAACACAGAACCGCCATAAGGATCTAGAGAATTATAACCACTATCTAGTTTAATGTGTTACGTTGGTACACAACAAAATAATATATAATTGATTATGATAAATAAAAATATAATTTATATTTGTGAATTTAAAAAAAAATATATATAATATATATATTTCATAAAATATAAATGAGTATAAAAAAGTTAATAAAAATAAATAAAAATTGAGAAAGCATGTATTGTATAGTTAGACAATAGAAAAATTAGCTAATGTTAATAGCTAAACGTAATATAAATTACATAAATTAATTGCAATTAATAATTGTGAGGTTTTTTTTGAAAAAACTACGTTAAAAGCCGTACAAAATTATATTAATAATATTTCAAGTCACACTTAATAAGTAGAAGCTAAAAAATAAGTGTTTTTTCTTTGTCGCAAAAAATAATTTTTGTTGATATAAATAATAGTCGAAGAACACAATAAATTAATAATTGAAAAACCAAAAGAAAATTAATAGTACAAATGGAAAACCATGATGTCGTTTTTCATGTGCCGGCGGCGTGTTATGTGTGTCATACACGACATGATAAAAATAATAGACTAGAATGCCTTAACTCTAGAAACCCGTTAACGAATTATTACCGTGCATCACATGGACATGAGGAGCCTCCGCTTAATCTCCTTCATTTCGCTAACTTTTTTCGTCAGGTACATAACGCTAATCTGATTTTCTACGTATTTCTGCCGCTTCGCGTCTCTCGACCGCTTGGCTGCTTCGTTATTTTTTTTGCGCTTCATAACGTATGTATCGCACTGCTGTCCGTCCGGTCCCGGCGGCTTTTTGTTGGGCACCGACCGGCGCATCTTTTCAAAGTTTTTCGGCGGTCCCAGGCTCTCCAGGTACCGTTGCCTGAACGCCACAAAGTCCGACTGCTTGTATATGGCGGCTATCTCGTCCGGGTCGACGTCGCGCAGGTCGTCGCCGCCGGACGCCAGAGGATTGGCGTCCACCGTGGTCGATTCCGGGGACAGCCGTTCCGAGTGGACGCCGCCGCCGCCGCCGTAGTACGGGTATCGACTGTAAAATTAACAAAAATAATTATTATAAAGTTGTCGGCGTAAAAACGCATGCGGGTTACTCACCAGAAATCGTAGGCCGACACGTATTCGTAGAACGGGTTTGACTCGGGAGACGTGGCCACGTACACGGGACTGGTGGCGATCTTGGGCACCATCATGATGGGGTTAAACCCGTGAGTGGAAAATCCGGGTGGATAGGCCGCGGTCGCCGGGTAGTGATGGCTTTGCGGCACCGCCGTCGTCGCGGCCGCCAAGAACGGGTTGTACTCGGCCGCGTACCGTTGCGCGCGGTACGACGGGTCGTCGGCCGCGCCGCCAAAGTGCGTATGAGGCGTGTGGTCGGCGATCTGAGGCGACACCGCCGGCGCCCGGTACACGCTCGGGGCGACCACGGCCGCGGGCGGCGGCGGCTGCGCCTCGGGCGAGGAACGCGCCAGAGGCGAACGGCCAAGCGGCAAACGGGCCAGCGGCGATCTGGACAAGGCCGGCGGAGGGATTTTGGATACCGCGGCCGTGGTGGTCGCACGGGTCAAGTCCAACGGCGCGCCGTTCTCGACGTCCAACTCTTCATCCATGACGATATCCATTGCCTCCTCCTCGTCCTCTTCCATTTTCGTTAAAGTTGTAGGAGGCACTTTGTTCACCGTCAAGTCCAATGGCGCCGACTCGAATTCGTCCATATCGGTCATTTTTTCTAAATAACAATTAACAATTAACGTTTCAATTACTTGAAAATTACACTAACAAACTATTTAAATAATATTATTGGAATAATTATTTCTTAAAACGATTTAAATAATTAATCTTTGAAATTGTTCTAATAACTTTTACTTGAATAATATGTTATCTAGATATGATTATTTGTAAAACGTTTTATTCCACTGATGCACAACTCTGGCTTATGGAAAACTAATATTATATATAATTAAGTTTCAAGATAAAAAATAAATATTAAATTATTATTGAACTAAGCTAACCAATTGGTTAGCTTAGTTCGTGAATTACTATACATACAAATGTCTTTTTTTTCATAGTTTTAAATCGTAAAATCTGATTATCATTACACTTGAGAAACAAACTTACAAGACAACAATGAAAACAAGCTAATACAACCGAACAACTGTATAGAATCAAAATTGGATAATCTCCTCTATTATAATAACAGAATCCAACTTCTGAAGGAGACAAGTTTACAAACAACAGCCAATGCACAGCTGTGTTTAACTGATAATCCAGTTTTGGCGGATGACATGATATTGTTCATTGACATTAAGTTAGCATAATATTTACTGTCTACATAATCGTTGAGGATAGAAAAATTAACTCCAAAAATTCAAATAACTAATTAAACGTGTATTGTTATTTTCAAAGTCTAAGACTGAGGTGTAGTTGATCTCATATTATACACATAAATATTGGAATGGGGCTAAGGAAGTTCAGACATTAAATGGAAGCCAGATAATTAATACATTTTTAATTGAGTATTTTAATGTATAATATATAATATTAAAAAGTATAATTTTTTCGAATAATTCTTGGGGTTAGATATTTTATAGGTCTGCCTAAAAAAAATGTATTCCTGGATTACAGTGTGTGTGTTTTTTTGTCAATGTTGAGATAAGAAGATGTCGGCCAAGTGGGATTTTTTCCAACACAATAAGAAACCGGTTTGCGAAACACTTGTCGGCAAATTGCGAGCCCAAACCGTGTGTTGAAAGTGTGTTTAAGAAATCAAAGTATGAGACTTTATCGGCGACCGAATAATCTTTGAAATAACAACCGTTATTTTGATAATAATAATAAATTATTATTGTCCAACACTTGACAAACATAGCTAAAATTATAAACAAAACTTCTTTTCCACATGAGCACAACATTACTTAGGTAAGCCACTTAGTAATGTTTCTTTAGACTGTGAAAATCGCCTAGTGAGTGTCTTTAGAATAATAACTAAGTAATGTCGATTTGATGAGTTAGAACAAAGTAAAATCGACAGCTAAGGATAAAGTTTAAAACTATTTGATCAAAACTGATTGTCGACTTGTAAAAATGTGAGTTTAATTAAAAAATGTCTATAAATATATATGTATTATGTTACCATTTAAGTTTGAAATGTAAATACTAAATAAGATTGGAAATTAAAAAATACCGTCTTATATTGTAAAAATGTTTTCATAATTAAAAAACTACAAAACTGAACACCGGTGTAAGGCGTTAAAAGAATCATCCGGTACACACAATTTACTTTTTAAGTTAAGACAAATTTGCTGAAAAAAATTAGTGCCTATTGATCAAACAAAAGAAATATTTCTTTAAACTATAAAAAAAATAAAACCTTTTCTGGACTTGTTAACACAATGTTATTAAATATAAACGTGATAAAACCCGTAATATCGGTTAAAAAATAAATTTGAAAAAATGGCATTCGCAAATTTAAATAAGTGTAGTGAATTAGAAATATTTTTTATAATTTTTCTCCAAGTAAATTTCAAGTGAAAAACGATTATTTTTAATCTACCCAAAGTCGAACTAAAACTCAATTGACGTTAAATTTAATTTAAAAAAAAATCTCTCGGCTTTTAAAAACAACTATTTATATAATATACATATCGTTTTAGCAAGTGTTACACAAGTTGTCCAAATAAAATAAAAGATGATCCACCGAGATAATACGATATATATTAAACAATCTAAAATTATTACCTCGTTTTAGACAGTAATAATAATTTTAGACACTATAGCTGTTTAAAAAAAAAACACAAAAATAATAATAATTTAATTTTCCACTTACCGGAAGTATGATAGTCGATGGCCGTTTGATGAATAATTAAGACGTTTGTTCGAGTGTGTGTGTTTCTTGAGTACAGCTGCACCCTGTTGTCCTGTGGTCGTGGTCGTCGACAAACTGTGACCCATCAAGACATTTTCAGGCCTTTTCAAGTGTCATGGCTGTGGCAATGATAACCGTTGTTGTGGTGGTGGTAACAGTGGTTGTAGCTGTAGCCGGTGATGGTGTGTTGTCCGGTCTTGTGTGTGTGTGTGTGTGTGTGTGCACATTGAATACAAAAAAAAAATGGACCTGAACCTCTAAAAACGTGCACTTAGCACTACTTAGGTAGGCGACCGCGTTTTTTCACGGTGTTTAAAAAAGGTCAGATTGAGTTGAATTTTCAAAAAAAGGTACACCACAAAAATATTATTCTACTAAAATGTGCGGAACAAAAGGCTAGCGGAATCGACTCAAAATGGCAAAATGGTACACACCTATCTACGGTCAGGTATAGTATAGTCGGATAGCATATATTAGCACACAATAGCAATCATTTTTTTTTCCCAAACGACTTCTACTCGTCTCCATTACCAAGTCGATAATATGTAATAATATATATTAGAAACAGTCGCTACATAGAAAGTATTTCTGAGGTATAAAACGGTTTTTTAGGAAAATTATCAAAAAAAAATATATATCAATTACAATATACCTAACTATTATTAAAGCGGCAGTTAGCGTCTAAAAATCAAATATAATTTTTACTAATGTTTCAATAAAAAGTATATTCTAAGTATGTACTAACGTCTGCAGTAGACGGCCATTTGTTGGTTACATACAAGTTCTGTTAGCGGTCATGTGTGTGTGTATAATATTATGTTATTTATCATGTGCAACTGTATTTTTCAAGTACACAATTTTATAGTAACTTAAGTCTGCACAGCTCTGGTACCTACCAAAGAAGAAGGTAAAAATTTAAATTATACAGTCTTGCGTTGGGAAATAACTTTGAACTAAAATGTCTCCCAAAAAGAAAACCTAAAAAAATGTATAATTATTTTTAAAGATAATTTGCGTTTTACCTTAAATAGATCATCATATGATATTTATATAATGTCACATTTGCATGCAGCTTTAATTATGCAAATAAACACTTGAAGCGAATGAATCATAAATTTGCGTAACTTATTTTTAGTTTTGAATTTGTAGTTTATTTACTCGACTGTAAATTTTATCTTGTCCAGATAGATACTTAATAATGAAACGATAAAAATTCAGATGTTCTTTCAACAAATACGTTTATTCTTTGCCATTTAAAAGTCTTAATATTACACGGTATAAATTTGATTTGTAGATATGTATCCAAGTTAAATATTATGTTTGTAAAAAAAAATGTTATTATAATAACAAAACCGAAACACTTTTATTCAATATTCCTTTTATAAATAATTATATAATAAATATTTACTTAAAAATAGTAGGATATAGAACGGGATGATTCGTTAAGGAAAAGACACTAGTTTTTTTTAAAAAAACAATTGCAATTTTACTGTATTGCTTTTCGAAAATATGTTTGTTTTTATGTTATTTCACAACAATATTATATTAATTACTAAATATTATATTAGCTGTCAACGTTTGAAACTCAGGCTTTAGTAACTCGAAAAGTAATAATTATCCAAAACTAATTTGTAGACAAGTCAACATTGTCAGCAAATTATTTTTAATTTGAATATTATCTAATATTGTAAAATAACAACAACTAAAGTGTCCTTACCCCGTCTTAGGAGGAATCCAGTGTCAAACTTGTCATTATATTTGACAACAAAATCGTTGTGTCGTGTCTTAATAAATAAAAAAAAATGCAATACAGATATTGTGTACAAATAATTAACATTTTATTTCTACGTTCTTCTCACAACACAGTTCTGTTCTTTATAAGAAATTCCATACAAAAAATTATACAAGATTCACACATTTCCCCAGTTAAGGAGTGGTTAATATAAAATATATTAACATTGGTATCATCCTTTTTTTTCTTCTCGAAAATTTACAATTAATACACTATTTGTCCACTTGGCGGAGAGCACTATAACATATAGAGTACATACGTATATGTATTATATTATTAATAGTTTAATAATATTTATTAAGAATTTAAAAAAAAACGATAACTTATTAATTTCTGTTTTTATATAATTGTAATACATTTTTTTTTTCTACGATTCTATTACACATATTATTTTGTATTATTCGTGAGACTTATAATATAATATATTATATTTCGAGTGCACTGTGATAAAGATATATATATATAAATAGATTATTCCGGTTAATTGACATACACCGTTATTGTTAAAAAAATAAAAAACAAAAAAAGATTACTAAATAAAATAATATCGAAAACTGACTATTACGGATAGTGTCAAAAGAATATGACATAAATATGCGCATAAACAATACCTAAATTAATAACAATAACAAATTGTATCGGTTATTTACTATAAAAAAAGAAAAGAAAAATTGACTAGATTCTTTTTACACGTATACAAAAAACTAATAATACAAAAAATTGTAAAGTAGAAAAAAAAATACATATTAACAATAATTCATCCTCGGTTGGGGGCTTAACTAGAAATAATTCTCATGGTATCTAATCAATATATACCTACGAATCGTGCCAACTACCTGTGTTAACATGGGGCACACAATATATTATAGAGGTTCGACGTCTATTACTAAAAATATAATAATATGTATTTTAATAATATACACGCACACAATACCGTCGCTTAAGACGCAAAACCTTGTATATCATTTTTTTTCACTTTAGGGGAGAGCAAAAAATTCAGTTTCAATAACATAATAATCATCATAACTGATAGCGTGATACGTTATCAATCATTCGGTTATCGCGTTATCTATTTGACTTTATCATCGGTCTGAGCCCGCCAAACAGTGTGGCCAACTTGATTTGGCCAAAAAAAAAAAATATATATATATATATTATATGGTATTCAACAACAGAAAACGGTGGTCGGGTCGCGGGGCACCGACCACCGGTCTTAACGTCACGGCGAGAACACCCTGAGACTTCGCAGCAACTTGGCCAGCACGTTTGCCAGTCCTTCGGCGTGCCTGGTGAGCGTCTCCGTGCTGACGTCCGTGTCTATGAGCAGCCCGTGGAACGTGTGCAGCACGTCGGTGACTTTGACGATGAGATTCCTGGTCTGGAGCGGCGAAGACGTGTGCCTGGTCATGTTGCCGCTGAGCACGGTCATCCGGCGCAGTTGGGTCACGCACTGCGACAGGTTCGACTGGAACTCCGGGCTCTTCGGGTTCATGTAGCACCGGATCAGTATTTTCGACGAGGTCACCAGCTGCCGGGCCTCTTGGCACAGTATGTCTTTGGCTTCCTGCAAACCAAAACGGACAACGGTAAGCGTTGGTAAACAGCAGGTGTAAACCGCGTAAGAAAAGTCCTAACTAAACGGCTAAACTTCGGGTATTCGTACCTGAAACTTGCTCTCGTCTAGCTGCATGCCGCCTCCCTGGGCTTGGGCGACGTTACACTGTTCGCTGAACTCGTTCAGCCGTTCGATCAGTTCGTTGATGACCGACACTGCGTCCCTGGGGTTCGTATAGCTACCGTTACGCAATAGGGTTTCCTATTGCGACACAATAACAAGGAAGGAAATTTAGCATTTTTGCAATACCGTCAACGACAGCATAAGAGAAATTGGCAACGATTCTTACTTGCGAAGGCGCGGGTGGCAGAGGTGGTTTGGTAGACAGCGTGGAGTCTATCCTGGGAGGAACTTTGGGTTTGACCCGGGGCAGTGTCATGTTCTGGGCTCTGGTGGGCAAGAACGGTTGCTGCTGGGCGTCCGGACTCCGTTGCCTGGGCCTGGAGCAACACGAGAAACCGGGCAACGTCTTTTCGTTGGTAGCACTGGGTCCGTCGGGGGTTGTGACCGCAGCCGGTAGTGGCGGTGGTCGGGGGGGTTGAACGCCGGAAACGGGATCCGGCGGCGGTTTGGCCGGCTCAGATGGCGGCGGTTGAGCAGCGACAACCGGTTTCGGAGGCGGAGGTATGATGAACGACGATATTTGTTCGGAAGTCAACACGTTGGCCTGCTTCTCTGCGGCCTTGCCGTTGGCCTGCGGCGGCGGCGGGATCGTCATCGTGGCCAAGAACGACTCCAGGTCGAGGTTCATCAAGCCCGGGTTGTTTTTGAACCCTTGATCCAGTACGGAGTCTACGCGCAAACACCAATAATTATTATTCTTACTTATATTGCAGCAGCAATACGTCTTATTGTACCGCTTACCCAAAAACCTGTCCGAGGCGTTTTGCTGATGCTGTTGGTGGTGGTGGTGATCGTAGTCGGCGAACAGGGTGGGCGGAAGGCTACACTGATTGCCGCTGGCCGCGGTCGAACCACCGTTTACCGTTTGGGCGCTGTTGACTTTGTTCTGGTCCGCGGGAGGCGGTATGAGGGTCAGGTCGATCAGGTCCGGTTCCAAGTACAAACTGTTGCGCGGCAAAGACCTGTTGTCCTCCTGTAGGTTTTTCCACAGTTCCTGGAGTGCTTCGTGGCCCGAAGACGACGTCCCGACTAGTCCCTCGGGACTGTGCAGCCCGAAGCTGATGTCCGAATCCCTGTTGGTCGTCCGGTGCGAAGGACTGGTCGACGGGGTGTTTATGGATTCCGTGTCGCTTTCCATGTCGCCCAGATTGAGCGCTTGGACGGCCGCGGTTATACTGTCCTCCGAACCTTTCTGTTAATGACGATAATAAAAAAATGGTTTGGCTTAAAGTTATTTTTCTAAAAGAGGTATTACATATTATATGTTAACAGCTTGCGTACGAGCCCGCAACACCACGGGATACGTTTTTATGTATCTAAAGTGGCTAGTAAACATATGGAGTTTCTGTCTAATATTTTAGTGTTTTCATAATATCTGGCCCAAAACAATTCATTTGGCCCCTTAAATTATTGAATTTATTATTCATTTCTATTTTGAACGTTGTGAATACAACATATCTGCCCTCCCCCATTCCTACCCCGACCCCAACCCTCATCTCTCACTCTTCCTAACTCTCACCCCTTCCCTTATCTCTTATCTCTCTTATCAGATAAATCAGCTGTTATTTTTCGGTATGATAGCCGGTGTCGGTGTCGATATTTTCCGGTTGTGTTCCAAAGTAAAAACCATATCTCTCATCTCTTATCGCTTTCCCTTATCTCTTATCTCACTTTTCTTATCAGATAAATCAGCTGTTATTTTTCGTTATGATAAGCGGTGTCGGTGTCGGGTTTTCCGTGTGTGTGTGTGCCATAGCAAAGACATATACATGTCAATAGTTTATTATATTCGCGAGACACGGCGGGGCGCGGCAACAATACTTACTTGAGCCAACAGCAACAGGGAATCGCTGTGTTTGAGCTGACCCAAATTGGCCGGCGGCGGTGGCAACGAAACCGACCCGTCGGATGATATGTGAGACCCGTCCGAGTCGCTGGACTCGCGCTGGTGCCGGTTCAGATACTGTTCAGAGTTCTCTACCAGCTGTTGCATCTCGGCCACTCTTTTCAGCACCTCCTCGTTGTGCGTTTCCACGGCATGGCTATCGTCGTTCTCCAGTATTTCCATGGACACCACGCTCTGCACGTCGATGCAGCTTTTGTCTTTGGGTTCCCCGTTGACTTTGTAGCCCAAATGGCCGTTCGGATGCCTCTTCAAAGACCTACACGGACACACATCGGGGTTGGCGTTAAACCCAATTTTTTTTTAAAAAGTTTTTTGGTCTTATTACATGGTATTCATGTTTTTGTCCACGTTTCCGTTTTGCATGCCCGTCCAAATGGTTCTGTTGAGAGACCCGTAATCGTTGGGTTTCAACATTTCGTGACTGAACGGCGTGTACATGGGGCAGAACGCAAAGTTGGTTAATTTTTCTTCTTCTTTTGCGTAGATGGTCGACGGCCCGTAACTCCAAGTGGTCGGTTTGACGATGTGATGAGAGTAGTATTGAGGAGCTGCAAAGTAAAATTGTATGGTCAAATAGTTTTTTGTTAGCCTTTTTAACGGGCCGGATCCACTAACCGCTGTCTATGTGCACGGATTCACCTTCCCGGTCGATTGGCAAACAGCTGGCCATCAAAAGCTTAAAGTAACCTTTGATGACCAATATGAACTCGTCTGCGTCACGGTCTTCCATGCAAAAGCTCACCTCCTGTAAACACCGTTGCCAACGGGCTCGTGTCAAAACACACTACAGTTTGCCAATATTAATACAACTGATATTTTTTACCTTCTGTACCGTGTTTTGTAAATACAAAGTGACCGTGCTGGAAATTTGATCTTCTTTTTGCATTTTCACCAACGTGACTTGTTCGATGTCTGCCAAAGGAACAGGCTGCAAAGACCAAACGAGACTTTTATATTTTAACCTTAAAATGTCCGAATGAATGTGCAGTTGTAAAAATGGTCTCAAAGGACTATCAATTGTATTAATTAATACCCGCTATGCTATATTATACTCTTTTTGTAAACGGCATTGACAAACGACCGAATCGTCAATTGCTTACCATGCTGTTGCGCAGTCCCACGATTTGGCTAATTCCCATTTTGGGGCTGACTAGTATGACGGTTTCCAAGTTGCAATCCTGCAGACATGACGGTTGTCGTTATATTATTGACTGTGGCGGTGGAATGGGATCAATGGGACAAATTAAAAAAACTTGGCAAACAGCAGTGACACACTCACCCGGACGTTGGTGGAGAAACATTTGGCCCCGTAGCTGGGCAGTTCGGAAATGATAGTCAAGTAGTAGAGTTTGGCTTGGAGGGCCGTAAGCGTCTTGTAATTGGTGCCCGTCATCGTCTGGTTGAGCTTCAACAGATGTGTCAACAACTTTCGCAATTCCTTCCGTTTCATCGACTCCATCAGCGAAATCGGCACAAACTTTTCCAAACCAAACTCTCGCCTGCGAATCAAACGGAACACATAAAACAAAATCCGTTCCACGACAACAGTTGCACGGGCTACTGTCGGTGGTGACCAAAGAAACGGAGGGGCTTAAAGTAGAGGTTAGATAAATTACAGGGTGTATCAAAAAGAATGGTGGGGTTTCAAGCGGCTGTAGGTTGTGAAGTATTGGACTTACAGCGCTCTGGTAGGACTTAAATGAAAGAGGGAGTTGTCAAGTTTCGAATGACTGACACTAGATGTTTCTTAGTCAGAGTTCCTAGATAATTAGGTGCAATACTTCACAACCTACAGCCGTTTGAAACCCCACTATTCTTAACCCCACCATTGTTTTTGATAATACACCCTGTATTATGTAGTAAGCTAAGAGGCGAGCTGCAGTGTGACCAGAATACGGTGAAGAAACTTACTCGATTGCTTTGACCGTCACCTTGCAGTAAGGTATGTTGTTGGCCATGGCGTGTTGGTGTATGTGCAGTGCTGCCAACCTGAGCGCGATGTCGTACTTGAGTTCCGGCGCGTACCTTTCTTGGACCACGTCGTTGCAGCACTTGAAAACAAGAACAAAATAAAGAAAAAAAGTCATAAACATCTCGCGCGTGTGCGAGAAACGGTTAAAAGTGTCACATACTTGTAAGTACAGGTATTCGAAGGCGTTCAAGTCTTTTTGAGCTAAATCGCAGGCGTCTCTGGGCACGAACGCCACGCGGAACAGACATCTCAGGTTATGAGATCCCGGCCTGGAGGCCACCTGGAACCGAGCGAAACATCATGATGGTTTCGGTTAAAGCTAGAAAAATTGAAGGAAAAAAATAATAATAACAACAATAACCAACCCTGGCCAAAGTGTGTTCGGGGTCCAGCAGGGTAAGCTTATGTCTCCGAAGACTTTTGACTTGCTCGAGCACAAGAGCAAAGTGCTCGCCGGCCTTAATGCACAGTTTGTTCTGCAGCGAAGCCACCACGTCCTTGACTTTGGTAGTGGAGTCGTACTTGAACGACTTGGTCTGTCCGTTTTCCAGAAACACTTTGAGGACATTTGGTAACAACGCTATGTTCGGGTCACCACCGCTAAACGCAGACACCTGTGCAAAAAATACAGCCCGTGAACATTTCCAGACCAAAGACATGATGAACAAGGGCATCTTATTAGCATCGAAGAGTTTCAGAACTATCATCTGACGTAGTTCTGAAACTACAGAGCTTTAAAGCTGTACATCATAAAAACATCTCCCCCGTCCTTCTGAAAGTTCATACTTTCTTAATTAATTGCTCGCATTTCACTGTACTACTTACAGGGCACAGCGGTGAGCCGTTGACGAGAACACCTTCGGCGAACCGCACTCGAGACGGGTTCGACTTGAGTTTGGCTTTCTTGGCCGAGCTGAGCAAAGCAGATTTTCTGGCCGACTGTTTGGATAGGACATAAACGGCAGTTGAATAAAAAATATATGATTTAATCGAAAACTCAAGTGACTCACGTTGTCCAACGGTGGTTGGCAAACGAGCAAAGTGATGGTATCCGTGCAAGACCTGACCAGCTGGATGACATAGTCCCTAAGACCGTTTTGGACGTCTTCGTCGTTTATCCGAAGGATCTGGTCGCCCGGAAGCAGTTTTGAGTCGCTGGGTCCGCCTTCGGTGACAAACCTGCAAATCATAGCAATTGAAAATGGTTATAATTGAGACGATGATTATTAGAACAAGGGCCCAATTTCAAATTTTGGTTTTTTCAGGAGACAAAAAAAACTATCATTCTAGGTACAATAATTTTGTCTAATTTATTGCCACTTAACGGGTTGATTTAATTTAGCCAATGGAATTTTTTAAAAGTTATAAAATTGGGAATATTATACAACACTTAAAAAAAGATATCACAATATTTTACTTTAAAGAATTTTTACCAATTTACAGTTGTACTAACAATGTCAATAGTTTTACTATTGTTTGCCAAATGGTAAATTTACACCGTGGAATAATCTTAATGAAGAAGATTTGTTTTATAAAAAAAAAACCTGTTAACGGTGTATTTTTATTTCATATAATATAGTCATTGTAATACTATTGAAATTATTGCAATCAATTATAGTTAATTATTATGACACGGACAATGTGACCGTATTTAAGCTGTCAGCCCAAAAATGGTCTGGCACAAGGACCATTTCTTACTTCTTAGACAGAGTTGGGAAAACCCACGTCTGCCCCCTACCTATGTATTATTAATACATTTACAGAGATAGTTAATTATTATTGACAGACTAAAAGATCTAACCGAAAACAAAATAAAATTATGGTTTAGAATTTCTGAAAAAAAAACCGAATTGATAGTACACCGTTATTTTTATTATTAAATAAAGAATGTGCTTGTTAAAGACACTCGATATGAAATCTAACACTTTAATTCCAAATATTATATATCATTTCTTCAATCAGTATTATTATGTTTAACACCGGGAAAAGGCAGATAAATAATTTAGCCCACGCTTGTAAATCAAGAAGTATGTATAGTATATTTATTTATCATGAATTCAGTTTTTTTCTAATTATTAATTTTATCTGTTGTGTCAATAAAAAATAAATCTTTCCGTTTTCGGTACCTCTAAATTATTATAAAAAATTATATATTAAAGAAGACCATTTCTGAATGTTGTATAAAAAAAATATAAACTTTAATTGAAGTCTGAAGTCATTGACTGTAAAATACTAGAAATAATTTTTACAATATAAATGAGGATATAAAAATAAAACCTTAGTTGTATATAATGTATACAATTAAATAGTAGAATAAAAAACCGAAGGATGGATACATAAAAGTGACATTTACTTTTCATACTTTATACAATTTAAAATATTATGACTTTTAAATGCAATTCGCATATAAAATGCTTTTATATAAAAATGCTTTTCTCGCATTGAGTTTCATTTAAATTAAATGTTGATTTTATTTTTCGAGTTTATAAATCAAGAAATATGTTTATTAATTAATTTATCATGTGATTTCAATTTGGAATCATATTTTTAGAATTATAATTAATGTATATATAAATGCATTTATTTTTAAATCAAAACCATTTTATTTCCTTCAAATTTCATAATTTTGAAGAAAAAAAACAATACTCAAACAAACAAAAACACCTATGATGATTATTTATATACATAATAACTATTACCGTTTAATACATTTGTTTGTGGGCAAACACAAATAATTGTTTATTTTTTTTCTTCGGGGTAATACAATGTTAATATATATACTCGTATATATATATACATATATATTTAATACATTTTTTTTCAAATAATATTAAAACTTTTTTTTAGCCAAGTGCAAAGTCAGTTTCGCATTATTTTTTTATTTCCAATTTACTAAAAGCCAATCAGGTCAGGCGTTTCTTATGTAAAATAATCTCAGATTTTTTGAAAAAAATACTGGAAAAAATTTCAAATTTTCGGCAACAAGTAAAAACCAACTTTTTAGATTGCAAATTCAATTTTATCATCTTTCTGTTAGTCGAAAAAATAAATCAATATTTTTTTTCCAGGAAACCGAAGATTGTTTTACATAGAAACTGATTTTTCACAATTATTTTTGATGGCAGACACTATAAAAAAGAGGTGTCGAGACAAAAACTGAAAATACATTTTAGTCTGTCATTATTAACGTGACGTTTATTTATTTAAGCATTTTTTTGTTATTGGTAATTACCGATTTTTTTTTTACCTTAGTTCTTCACGGCAACTAACTATATATATAATGTTAAATTATAGCCAAGGTACGTGTGAAAATCTTACCTCGCGGGTCATTAGCGCGAAAAAGGGACAAAGGAACAAAAGTAAAAGACACACATAAAAAAAAAAATACTAGACCCGTTTACCTACCGAGGCCTTTTGGGACAAACAGATAACGGTCGAGATCCGCCGATGTGTGCCATCAAAAGACGGTATATATTAATACTTCAATAGGTATATGGAAAACATACAATGAAAGGTAATTGGGCGGGCGATGAACGGTAGAAAAAAAGTCGTCCAGGCAGAAGACGTAGGTCGTAAAGGTCTTGTACATGTACTGGGACGTTTGAAAGAGACTGTCGCTGAATATTTTACCGGAACCGCATTATCATTGTCTAGGAAATAATAATAATAATAAAAAAGGTATCTCATAAGATTCCTGCAAAACACAAAATAGACACTACAGACGCACATTATAAGAGTAAGTAGGTAGATTTGTTAGACGACGACGCGACGGTCTCCATTGAGAACATAATAATAAACATGTATTTTCTTCCTTAGAATATCTAATTTTATACAGTGAATATACATCAGCTTACTTATATAGCTCTTGAGTAAACTGTAAAAAGAAAAATACATCTTGGCGAGTCTTTGAGTGTCTTATATTTGGCTTCATCTACTTTGTCGACACTGCGAATTCGACATGGTATGTTTTTATTAAGAGACTTTAAGTTAAGATACACGTTATCATTTATTTTAGTAATATAATTGTACTATGCAGTCGTTTAATAGAATTAGAAACATTGTTTGAAATTGTTTTGTATTGTGTTTCCAATCATTTTGAATAGACACAAAGCGTAGCAATATATTTTTTTTTAGTTACTGACAAAGTGTTTTGAAATATTTAGGTCATCATCATAATATATTATTTATGTGCACATTTTCTAAAGCCCATACTCGAAAATGCATCGCTGCAGCGCGTCGCCCATATTAAATATGCATAAGGGCGAATACTGCATTTTGTGTATAAAATATGTTGATTTCTCTTGCGCAGTGTGCACTGTGCTTCCAATACAAAATGCACGGTTAGAACATACATACATAGTATTATGTAAATGTGTTCAATGTATAAATAAAAAATAACATAACAAAGCGCAAACAGAAATCAACTCTCTGATACTCCTCTGAAACGAACAAGGTTTTCCTGATTTTGTTATTTTTAACAATTTGTTTACACATATATTTATAAATATTATAATGATTTAAATTTTAAATAAATAAATACATTTTGTTTTAATTTCAATTTGGCAATAAATAGTTCAAGACCAATAACAATATATTATAACATTCGTAGAAAATGTTTTAAATTTTAAATAAGTACATTTTTAAAAATTTTAATTTGGTAATAAATAATATTATAAACAATAACATATAATATTTTTTGCTATCTTATATATCCTTATCCCTCAGTCTTTTTAGATTCTAACATTTTAAAACTGGAAATATCGACTAAGTTTGTTTTTCCCGCAAATCGTTATATATGTATATATATATATATATACAATATATAATTGTCAGTTGTCTGAGTGTTTACCGGTGTGCATTTTTTTTTTTATAATTTATACTCAGCCCTGACAGTTAAATAACCAATAAAAAAAAATGACAGCATCGATAAGCGGACAGGAACTATTACTCAAATAAAATATATATTTTTTTTAATAATAAAAAATATCCATTTTATAAATTACATTTTATTAAGTAATTGTAAGAACATTTCAATATAACTATTTTTTTTCATATATATATATATATATATTCATATACGGTTATATACGACTATCAAATTGATTCCTTGGTTACGACAAAATACTTTGAGCTCTATTTAGGTCATCAGTATCTATATAATAGTATATTTGACCCGTGACCGTGTCTAATAGCTTTCTTAAGATCAATAATTATGAACACCATAAGTATTTGTGTACAAAAATTTATTTTATATTTATAAACACTTCATTATATAAATGTGGAACGGATTTGTCAAGTCCTAATATTACTCTTCAATAATTTCTTAGATTATATTCATACATTTGTATCTAACTTTTACAAAGTGCTTTCCTCCTTTGTCGACTGCCTAACATCGTCCTTTGCAGTGTAATGGGAAAGCTTACTTCATGTTGCAATAGCCGCTATGGTCCTCACAGAGGTAATATTTTACAAAAAAATATACTTCAATAGCGCCGGTTTAGCAAAATATAATTTCTTTGTTACTGGCAGGTTGATTTTCAATATGAAAGGTATAAAAAGTATTAAAAAAAGAAAACTCAATAAAATACTTTTCTGCTGTGCAAGTTTCAGTTAGAAAATATGCAGTTGTAAATGACAAGTAAACAACTTTCAACGTATTATGATTATCAATATAAATTATGTAAATAGTAATGTGCTCAAAGATAATATTTAAGAACTGTTAATTAATAAGAAGCTATACTGTTTGGTGAAGACGTCTATTGATTTTTTTAAAACTTTTTACACACAAAAGATAAAATCGCTACACCATGAAAATAGTTTTGACCTGAAACTGTAAAAACTTTCTTTTTTTTTCTCGGTTCGTTTATTCATAATAAGCGTAGAAAAAAATTGTATTATTTAAAAAACCGTTTTGACTTTTTACAACTTTTAATTACATTTTTAATATATTTTAATCCGAAGCGAAAATGTCAAAACCACATTTTCGAAATACTTTTAGTAGTTATCTCGTTTTTTAAATAGCTGTTGGCGAGATTTTTTTTTTTTTTTGTGCAGTTGCAAACAGAAATTGAATTACACAATATTTAGCTTTTATACTACATTTGCTGACATTGGCACTAAGATGAGTACAAGTTGTACATAACTGCTGTAAAAGTTTTCCATAGAAAGAATTGTGTCTCTTTTTTTAAAAACAATTTGGGGAAAAAAACTAAACATTTCGTTAGTGTTGTCATAGTTAAATATACTAAATAGGTTATCGTCAAACGGAAACTGTTATTCTGTTCATTATATCGATTATCGACATAGTTCTATAATATATTGTGTACAATAGCTTTAAACATTAATTATACCGTGTCTAGGGTTTTGTATTGATTTTTCTATGCACTAGTTCTACTCTCCGAAATGTAGTTTTGTGAACTCTGACATTTCCAGACCAACCATACTTGTTTATTCGATTCTATTATACATCAAACCCACGTTTCGAGGGTATGCTTTCAAATGGTACAGGCGATGATAATAAATAACATGTGTATATTTTCAGTAGGTATAGTCTGTGGTATAATATTACATTGTGTATGTTTGGATATGAAAATTACTCGGTCAGTTTCAAATTCACAATGTTGACAGTACACCGTCGAACGAAACGAATAAATCCTATAAACACAATATAACTGATTTCTAATATAAGCTACAGAAATATGAATTATGTTTGTCGATCAACTTGAACGGGTCCATACATTGAAATACAATTTAAAGCCTAACACTAGGTATACAGGTATAAATGCAGGTCGGCAGCTATTGGATTTTATTGGCTATTCAAAGTGCACTACAGTAGGACATTTTTGATACACATTGCAAAATCGTTTGACCCCAAACTATGTAAGTACGAATAGGGCAATTGTAGAAAGCATATTGCTTTATAGTCTCGAACGGATACTGGAAAAGGGCAAACTAGTATAATAAGTGTGTGCTTGTCGAGTGCGTAAGTCCGTAGCTGTTTGTACTTGATCCTTTATTGATGTTCAGATTTATATAAAGATGTCTGACATGCACAAAAGTCGCACGTTGCCATGGCGAGAGTGTAACGTTGTAATCAAACCGTGGACGAGGTTTCAAAGAAAAAGTCACGAGGGTGTTAAGACGCTGGCTGGTTGATGCTAAGATTAATATTGCTGCTAAAACTCCTAATTCTGTGTGATGGCCAGCCAGCAAACCTCGGTCGTGATAAATGATTCTCGTTTTTTCATACATCTTTTATAAAACGATTGTCATTAATTGTTGAAACCTACGCTGAATCTATACTTTTTTGAGAAATATCTCTATCGCCAACAATCTTGTAGGCCGTCGACTTAAGGAAGACAAACGCCGTTCCTTTGGAAAAATCTTAAAAAATTAGTGTTCAAACTAATTAGTCTCGGAGAGAAAATCTGTCTTGGAGACGTTGAAGGCATATAAACTGCACTGCGTAGGAAAAAGCTAGTGAGATAAGACTACCGAGATGAACAAAATATAAGAATAACTGGAAATATTATTCTATTGTTATGTCTAAGGTAAATTTGTATTTAATTTGTCATTGTTTAATTTTCTAAGAAAAACCTATATTCTTGTTTTTTATTAGAACAAGTCATTTTTTACAAGGCCCAACAACTGAATGGAATACACTAGTAAACAACATAATATGATTGAAAAAAAAAGAAGTTAAAACATTATTATGTTTAGTACGCCATATTGGCAAATACAATATCAACTCAAGAAGATAGTGATTAATACTTGAAAAATGTACCCTACACAAAATTGTTGAAAATGGCTAAACCGTTACAATATGTATTTTTTTAAGACTCGAATTTTCTTAACACAAACATACAACAATATGGGCTTGAATTGATTTTTAAGTTAAAACAATCAATTGAACTCAAACCGAAGTCCTTTTTGTAAACCGGTAAATGCTCGTGACCAGCTTTCAACAGTTTTTATTTTTTATTAGCGTTATTTTATTTTATTTTTTTGCCTTCGAAACAAAATACCGACGTCCGTTATAATAAATATCACAATGGGACATACCGTTAAGCGACAACGATGGGGATTTATTTTGAACACGAGTCCCAGATAAGACAAGCGAAAAAAATGCATTAGCACTTGTCCGATTGAAAGGCGTAACAAATAAATAAAGAAGAATAACAAATTGAGAAATAAGATGGCCGGCGACAAACGTTTATTGAATAGTTTTTTGATTTGTATCACGGTAAATTTGTATTATTTTATTTTTTTAAATAAATTAACTGAAATTACTGTGTTTGAGATATTTCAAAACGGCAAAAGGTTACTCGAATAATTAAATAATTACCGTGCAAAAATGTAATGAACTCAACAGTGTGTCGCTTACCCAGTGTTGCCAGACGTACGGTAATTACCGAACCTGCACGGTAAATGTATACTACATACGGTATACGGCAGCAAAGTTAATACCGTACGTTAAAATTTTCAATTTTACCCCATTTTTAATCGGGAATCAAAAATATATTGATTTTTATTGTCAAAGAGGTCTAGTTTACAGTCGATTTAGTGGTCCCTTGGTATCCGATATAGAGATCCAATGACAAAAAAATAGATAAGCTTAGGTATAATGTTTACTTATGCCGTCAGCCGTGGCCCGTGCGGCTAACACAGGTCTATTTTTTAATTATTCGGTATTATTCAACAACGCTGGATAATACCAACCTTTATGGGTTTTCCCTATATGCGTTATTCGTTCTAGATTTACGTGTGATAATTATTATTTATCATATTTTTTTTTCTAAAATTTCATTAGCATTTAGCCATTACAAATTTAACATTACATTTCCATTTATAAAATGGAGAGGTTCCTATGCAAAATTACCAAGGTAAGTTATCACCTAAATTTTAATCAATTATTAGTATAGTGGCATGTTTTTTTTATGTTGACAAAAATGTATAATTTTTAATAATTGTATTAAATTGGATTGGTATCTAGCATCTTTAACGTAGGTAGTCACTTTACTTAAGACTTAATTACCTACCTTCCTAATAATTATTATTAACTAAATCAGTGTAAATAGTTTATAAATATATAATGATTATTGACTTATAATTCGCGAAAATTGTGTGAAATTTTTCGTGTACGGTAATTTAATGTACATTACGGTAATTTTGAAGACATTGTACACGTTAATCCCATTTTTTAATTCTGGCAACACTGCGCTTACCTGACGATAACCGGTTTCTCGCTGCCCGCCACAAATCCGAATCCAAGTTCAGGGTGTCTCTTCAGTGTCACCAACCTCGGTTTCGGGCTCTCCTCCACCAAATCGGATCTGGGGTCGTCGTAGCTGGTAGTTTTCGTGACATGGCTGCGAAACAAATAATGGTAAAATTACAAAACAATAACATAGTTACAGCAGTAAAATAATATAACATTAATAACATGTCGGTTTATCGGTTTATTAAATCGTTCACAACGACCGCCCGAAAACGACTTTCTGGGCATTTGTGTACGGATTACCAAGTCAAAAGTGTACATAAGAATCCTCGAATTCAAGACGTGCTCGTGACGACGGCCGCACGCGTTAAGAATAAATTATTTATTATTTCACGAAGCCTTCAGCAGCATGTCGTCTGATCAATACGCGCCAAACGTCTTACACCAAGTCAATTAAGTCGACTTGGGCCGTTCTGAAATTAATATTTACCGTGTCCGTGCTGCTCGTCTATTTATTTCAGTGGATGGCTAATTTTAAAAAGTTTTAATGCGACGCAAACGGTAGGGACCAAATACAGTCTGCCTAGTTAGAAGAAAAAAGTGGTGATAAGATACCAATGATAACAGTATCACAGAATAGATAAAAACAGAAGCGTCACTTTGTATGTAAACAAAAAAGTGACGGCCATTTTGTGACCGACTATTTAGTATTATGTGTTATATACACAACTAAAAATAATAATGTATAAATGTAACATTATTATAGTGATGTAGCCTAAAGAAGATGGCCAGTGTTTAACAATATGGAAAAAACCTCAACACGAACAATATTCCAATTAAAAAAAAAATTAAATTTGTTCATCGTTGTGATAAATTAAAAAATCACTCGGTTGATAAAATATTGTAGTTCGTTAAATCTGAATGATTAATGTGAGAAATTACATTGTATTTCAAATTATATAGGTACAAAATCTAAATTGATGTAAATTTTAAGCCGACATTTAGTCAAGCCAACCACACAGCTGGCTATACTTATATATTAGATGTATGTACATATAGATTAGAGATTGCACCTCTTCGGCTGCGCTTAAGACCAAGTAGAAAATTGCCATTGTCAGTGTACAGCACAGGCTTCTTGGTTGGTTTTAATTGTCCATTAATTTACCGTCAATAAATAACGAGCCTCGGATTTGTTTGCAACGCAAAACGTTTATTTAAAATTAAACAGCAAGCTATAATATATTATATTAGCGAAAATACAATAAAGTATTTATTCTCCAAAGTCCAAGACCTGTCAGACCTTCTACACAGGTCTGACAGGTCTCCGAAATACAATAAAGCCGGGCCTATCGTTTATTAGTTTTTCAACTTTCTTACAATTGACAAATAAAAAAAATAAAAAAATTTTACATTCCAGTACTACGATCAATTGGAAACGCTTTTCAGGTAAGTAAAAATACCTTTTGGCATAATATATGATATTCATTAAGAATGCAAAATCAGTAAACGGATGCACATAAATACAAATCATGTGAGATTACTATTGTACTAGTTAGTTTCCATAATACTATACATATCTCTAATTTAAATTCACCATTGTACATCTAGTGTAGTATGGTAGAGAGAGTAATGGTTAAATTTAATCTACAATAAAACATAGTTTATTAGTGAAAAATAATATGTTTTGTAAATAATGTATTAATATATTTTACACTGATTTTTTCTTTCAAATTATGTTCCATTTTATTTCATAGCAAAGCAAAATCGTTATATAAAATAATTAAATATGATCCTTCAAACAATATTGTTGTGCTCCGAAACTTATAAAGAGTATAATAAAAGGTAACAAAAGATTTAAGGTAGAGGTATATTGTATCGCCTGATCAGTTGATATTTACTGCTGAGAACCTACGCAGTTGTTTTACATTGAGATTGTACAATTCGAGTAAAATCCAATTTTGCCATCATAAAAAAGCATACAGCCCGATGAAAATTTCTATAATAACATTTCGATATTGGTATTTTTCAAGTGTTAGTGACACGCGTGAGATTAAATGTCAAAAACATCCAACCGTTTCCGGGTTTCAATTCTCCAGCAACAATTTTCACATCATGTTCACGTGAACTCAATTATGTTATAATATTTTGTAATACAACGAGAAAAAAAATGTATTTTTTAAAAGAAAAACATCCACGTTGCACTTGTTTTAAGACTACAAGCCATTGTAGGGCGTTAAAACAATCATCCTGTATTTTATTTATAATCTCTTATCTCTTATCTCTCTTATCTCTTACCCAAATACATTTCCCCATTAGATTACACACAAACTGTAAACAGTCATCAGAAGATCTGTAGAATATCAAAAACGCCTATTTTATTATTATTTTTAAATTATATTTTAATTTAACTTATTGGCAAACGTTTTATGGGCAATACAAATGATTACATATCTAATGAACAATGTTTTCGGCAACGATTCGACCTGAAAGTTTACTTATCCCGTCTAGAGGTTGTGCTAAAAGAAAAATGGTTGTAATGTGAAAACCGCTAATCTACTCTAAATATGCACGACAGGCTTAATAGACAATTATCTACCGCTTATTTGGGCGAACGGGTCTGCTGCTTGTAATTTAATTTGGACGAAGCAACACTACCGGAACATGTCCTTTTGATTGTGTTAACCTTAGGTTTACCTTCTTGACAGCTTAATGAGAATTGAGAAATTCCAAGAACGGCTTTGCACAGCACCTGAGCCCTATTCTTCCGTTGCTGAAATACTATATATACACATTTTGATTACAACATCTGGTGATAGAGACCAAAAAAAAATATATAATTAATAAAAGATTGTATTATAATTAAAATTTTTGAAAAAAACAAGAAATAATTCGATTTTTGTAAATTGAAAATGTGTCACCGTGAGAAGTTTGCTACCCGTTTATGGTATTTGCATTATTTAGAGTTTGAACACAAACACAAGTGCGAGAGGATTATTTATATTTTCCTCGGTTTGTACTGTTATCTCGTTTATATGCATATATTTATTAAGAGTCGAGTTCATTATGAATGCAAACAAGCTAAAAAGTACTTTATTAGAACAACCTATAACCGGGTTATTGGCGAAACATGGGAAAACGCTCGAGCTAATTGAAGTTGAACCATAATATATGTTAAGTGCGCATAAAATAAAATAAATAATCATTCGTTGCATATTTTAAAATTCACAATATAAATAAAGGTCCCTTGAAATCGGCGGGGAGTGGGAGGATATACAGGTCAGGTTAGAATTGTGTAGGGTAAAAAAAATGTAAGTAACCAATAATATGTAAAATAATTATTTTAACGAAACTAAACCTAACGAATTATGCCAAAAAAGTCAACAATATAAATGTATAAGAATAAGGAAACTGAAAAAGCTTGGAAATGGGTTTTTATGAAGCTCTTCACTGCACTTCTATATGCCAGAGTGATTCTAATAAGACCCCAAATGACAATTTTTTTAACCGTAAAAAACTTGAATACTTTATATTTAATTTGTATTTTGTATATTCTTGACAAGCTGTTTTTAACGAGCCAAGAATCCACTCTCTATATTATATTATAGTTTAGGAGAAAATTAAGCGTTCATGTAACACACAAACTTATATTAAAGCCAAGACAAATATCTATCTTTTCATTTTTAGTGTATAGCGTTATGTTTTTTCCTATTCACAACTTGTGTCTTAAAATGATCAACATCAATTTTTTTTTACATTTCAATTACCATCTTTTATTTTTTATTTACCATACTTCCATATTTTTTAAAAATCAAGAAAGTAAATATTATAATACACATAAAATGTACAAGACATTTCTCTATTGACTTTCGGACGTGACTGAGCATTTTCAAAAGTAATTGGAATAGAAATGTAATCGCTTGAAATGCAATAATATCAGATAATCACATTGGGAAAAGGTTTATACCGTATATTTATTTTGAATTAATAATAATTGTCTCTACTGCGCTTTGTTCTGATGGCTACATAATGATGATTTAAACATTTAAATCAACGAGGTCCGCTTTTTTAGATTGTTATTTTTTTTTTTTGTTTTAAACGTAGGTATGTAAAAAAAAAGGGACCGAATAAATATTAAAAATGAAAACTCATTAAAATTAATTCGACGGTGTTTACATTTTGCAAGGATGCTCATCATATAAAAATGAGTGAATATATAAATGTCTGATGGCACAAAACATGGGAGAACTTAACAACCTTTAGCCCCGGGCAAATAAAACTCTGCTACACACTATAACCGTGTGTGTGTCATGTGCATTAAAAGCATAAAACCCTCATAATAATATTGATTATCTTGGTTAGAAGCCGTTTATGTTGTTTTGAGCGTATTCAGACAGTTCAACTGATTTGCGATGGAAAATGGTCTTATTATATTATAAACCAAGTAAATCATATCTTTGCTATATCTCTGAGTTACCTGAGCCTATGATACCTACGATCAATGTTTTGTAGCTATAAATTCAATCATCGTTTGTACCCGTACAAAGTGTATCAGAACAGAACAGTATCAATCAAACTGTGGTAATGGATTACATATATTATATGTACTCCCTTATCGCAGAATTCCTCGGAGACTTTGGAGTCAAACCAAATTGAATAAAACTTTAAGAGACTGCCGTTGAAAATAGCCTACTGTGTGGACTCCCTAGAGACATTATTTTATCTGAGGCTACATTATTTCTGGCCTAGACTTCTATAGGCCAGTACGTCTGCTCGGTTATCAGTAAATAACTAAGTTTTAAACCATCAGTTAAGACTGATAACTGATAGATGAGCTGTGGGACAACGCTGTATTTTCAATCTTGTGTCTGTCTGTTGAAAGCTGAGAATCGTGTGAGATGTCTGCTTTAGAACCGGTAGAGAGTATTTACACATTGTTTTAAATTCATTAACAGAGAAATGCAACAATATTGAGCTAGTTGGTGTGTGTGTGTGCGTTACTGTGATTTAAACGGTTTACCAGCGATTCAACTTGCTTTTCCACCCCCCCCCCCACCCCTTAAATATTACCCCATTAATGAATAAAACCCAAACAACAAAGGAGAAACACTTTTGAGGGTTAATCGCTAAATCGGACGACGGCGCTTTCGTCAG